TTGATACAGCACTCTGGGAACAGCCTATTGGTTCAGAAATGTCTTTCTGTGTCTTACCCTCTTGCTTGAAGGTGTTAATGATGGCCTTCTGGACAGCAGTCAGGTCAGCAGTCTGACCCATGATTGTGGTTTTGAGTAATGAACCAGGCTGGGAGTTTTTAAAAGATTCAGGAATCTTTCTCAGGTGTTTAGAGTTAATTTGTTGATTCAGATAATTCGATTAGTAAGTCGTTTAGAGAACATTTTCATGATATGCTAATTTTTTGAGACAGGGGTTTTTGGTTTTTCTTTACTTTBTTGCCAAAATCATCAATATTAAAACAATAAAAGGCTTGAACTACTTCAGTTGGTGTGCAATGAATCTAAAATATRTGAAAGTTTAATGTTTATCAGTACATTACAGAAAATAATAAACTTTTTCACAATATGCTTATTTTTTGAGAAGGACCTGTATTTTACCATTTTGTTGTTTTGACCTCAGGCGGTTTACGTCACAGCCATCCTGCCCTACGTAGTGCTGGCCATCTTTCTGATCAGAGGACTGACTCTGAAAGGTGCCCTGAGTGGAATACAATTTCTCTTCACGCCAGATGTGTGTTTCTAATTGTTTTATCACAAATATCAATTGACGCCATTACACAAATTCACCTCACTTCATTCTCACTGTCTCCTTCCTTACAGGTGAACGAGTTGACTGAACCAACAACGTGGCTGGACGCTGGTGCTCAGGTCTTTTATGCTTTTGGTTTGGCGTGGGGAGGCCTGATCTCGTTCTCGAGCTACAACCCTGTTCAGTAAGTGACTGCTATTTGTAAAATATTCCCAGAAAAGAAAAGTCTGTCTGCTTTCTAGACATAAAGAAATGTTGCTCTTTCCAGCAACAACTGTGTTAAAGATGCTGTGATCCTGTCTGCTGTGACGGGCCTCACCTCAGTTTATGCCGCCACAGTGACCTACACCATCATCGGCTTCAGAGCCACCGAGAAATATGATGCCTGCATCAGTGAGTGAGTGCAGTTTATTTTAAACACACTCTAAAAATGAAATGTTGGATTTACTTAACCATGTTATGTTACCTGGTTCCACTTTGAGTTGAGTAAATTCAAAGCAACATGCTCATGTTCTTTGGCTAAAAAACTGGTATATTGCTTTGAATTTACTCAACTCAGTTAAGTGGAACCAGGTAACAACATGGTTAAGTAAATCCAACATTTCATTTTTACAGTGCATTTGCAAATATTTACACTGTGTATTGCAGCTTTCTGAATTATTCAGACTTTATCTTTATTCAAAGATAAAGACATCATGATGTTTAGTCACTGTTTCATTCTAACAAGAATTAAATAATCAACAAACACTTAAGTTTAACCAAGATTGGATAATCTAACAAATTTGAGGCCCTGTGTAAGACAAGATATTGTGATTACAAGCATCTTTCCTAACCAGCTCCACTAACATGACAACACTTCTACAATAGAAAGTTAGAAAGTTAAAAATTGGGTGAAAATCCAGAGGAAAAGTTAAACAACAAAATAACTAAATTTCTATTCTGGGTGAAAAAAAGGTTTTAAGACAGAGTGAGATTCATTGAAGTACCTGTTCAGCCAAATCATCCTGTTTAAACCAAAACCCAGCTTCTAAAATCTGGATTAGAAAAGATAAACATAAAATTCCTCAAATAATGAGAACTGTGTTGGGTTGGACTATAAACACACAAAAAAACAAACTTATCCTTTGATTGAATTGAAGTGGTCCAGTCATATTAATTTTATGAACTGTTTTATCTCCAGAAACATCCTCAAATTAATGAATACATTTGATCTTCCTGAGGGCAACATCACCTCCAGCAACTACGATGAGGCCTTTAATTATCTGAACATGTCTTATCCCAACACTGTCCTCAGACTGGACATGCCAATCTGCGACTTGGACAAACTTCTCAGCGAGGTGATTTTTCATGAAGGTATATCAGAACCATCTTTGTTCCTCATCTCATATGTATTCTGCTGGTTTGTTCAGGGAGTGGAGGGAACAGGTTTGGCTTTCATTGTCTTTACTGAGGCCATCACCAAGATGCCCGGCTCCCCGATCTGGTCTGTCCTTCTTTTCGTCATGCTTCTCTGCCTGGGACTCTCAAGTCTGTTTGGCAACATAGAGGGAGTGGTGGTCCCACTGAAGGACTTAAAAATATTCCCTAAAAGGTGGCCCCATGAAGTCCTGACTGGTATCCTTACTGATCATCAAACACATTGAGCTTTTTGTTTCTTGGTTGGGTTTTAACAAAAACTCACCTGTTTCTTTCAGGACTAACTTGTCTGGTTTCCTTCTTTGCCTGCCTGCTCTTTGCGCAGCAATCAGGGCTTTATTGGGTGTCTTTCTTTGACACCTTTGCTGGATCGGTTCCTCTACTGGCTATTGGTCTTTTTGAGATGATAGCTGTTGTTTACATCTACGGCATTGACAGGTTAGTTCCTGAATGAATGTTTCCAATCAACATGTCCAGGTAGAAAAAATAGGTTGAGTAGGTCCTCTGGACGAGTTCCTCATTGTTGAAACTTTTAATCTCTTCTCCAAGAGATGTCTTCAGTTTAAGGAGTTACAGAAAAATGCAGCCTTATAAACAGTACTTCCACATGGTGTTTACTGGTGACACCCAAAAATGTTCACATGCAAATGGGGACCATCAGCCTAACAACCGTCGCTAGTGCCCTGATGTCCACTCGGTGTTCACAGAGGGCTGACACATTCTCACAATAACTGCTTTGTCAGAAAGGGACAACTGGACATGGATGACCCAACACAAAAGAGCAACACCATCAGGCCAAGACTCTGCAGTCTACACACATCTACAGGCCAGTGGTCACTCTTTCAGAGATGAACATGTTTTCATCCTTGATAAGGAAGAACCTTGGTTTAAAAGAGAAGTAAAGGAAACCATTTTGGTGAAAAGAAACTCCTTGGCTTTAGAAAAGGGGGTAGACCTCCATGCCTAACTGTCCCCTTCTTGCAAAGCCGTTATTGTGAGAATGACTCAGCCCTCTGTGAACAAAAGGCAATAATCAGGGCACAAGTGATCATTAGTTAGGCTGATGGTCCTCGTTTGCATGTGAACAATCAGTTCCGAGGGTTATCATTAAACCTGTTTGTCCACCATATGGAGGCACTGCTTATAAGTCTGAGTTCACCTGCAACTCCTCCGACTGAAAAAGTCTTTTGGAGAAGAGACAAAATGTTTCAACAAAGGAAGTACCCATCCAGAGGACCTGTTAAACTGTTTTTTTAGATATCTAATCAAGACATTTTCTTTGAGTTCCTATAGTATTAACTGTAATTGCCTCATGCTCTCTTGTGTGGCAGGTTTAACAAGGACATAGAGTTCATGACTGGAAAAAAGCCATCCATCTTTTGGCAGGTTACCTGGAGAGTCGTCAGTCCTCTCGTTGTTTTGATTATCTTAGTTTTTTACCTGGTGACTCAAGTTCAGAAAAAACTCACCTATTTAGTCTGGGACCCTGACTCTGTAAGTTCACAAATCAAGCTGCATTACTTTCTGTCTAACTCTAAGCTAAATTGCACATACATTTTTGTTGTAATCATCAGCATTGCATTTTCACTAATCACAGTTTTGTTCTTACAGGTGGAGTTTCCAGCTCTGGCTTCTGTAGAATACCCTGCATGGATCATTTCAATTATCATTGTTATAGCTGGAATTCCTAGTATGATTGCACCTTTTTATGCATTAGGAAGGCTGTCCTATGCTTCCTGCAGAAAATTATGTTCTAGATAAAGGGTTTCAAATGTATTGATCAGTTTTAAATGTGGAATATTTTCTTGCACGGTTCAGTGCCATGTGAATGAAATGTGTTCAAAATCAATCTGTTTAGTCTAAGTGTAAATGGTTAGTATTTACAGTTCAGTGTTGCCAGATATACAATAACGTTTTTTAAGGTCTACATCAGAGGGGTCAAACTCACTTACACAAAGGAGCCAAAATTCAAAATTGGTCCAAGCCAAGTGCCAATTTCTGTCAATATTTGTTGAAAACACTTTTTATAACAAATTATTTTTATAGAAAATGCAAATAACCTTTTACAAACCATGTTGTATAGCATTTAGAACATACATGATCTAATAAATAAGGATTAACTTTAGAAAGACTCATTCACATTAATTTCTTGGTTTTTTTTTTTTTCATTTACAATATCTTGGAGTCACATTTGATCACAATCCAGCAAATCAGATAAAAAACAACTAAAAATCAAATTATTTGACTTTAAAATAAGGAAAGAACACAAGAGTCAAGTCTCTGTGATTCTTTCCACACCAAAATCAAAGATTCTTGATTTGAAAGTTGGCCAGCGGTAATGAGAAGAATGCACTTAATCCAATGACTAAAAGAGAAACCATGGAACTATTTCACGTTTAAAGCGTTACCTTTGGGGCCAGATAAAATGATAACAAGGGCAAGATTTAGTTCGCAGGCCTTCAGTTTAACAAGTGATCTACACGACATACAGCAAAAAGTTTTAAAAGCCTAATTATATGATGGCACATCGGAAGAAACAAACTGATTTTTTTCCATTTTCGTGACCAACTACAGTAAATACTTAAAAAAAATCATCAGTCACACCGTTCCTTGTCCTCACCCTTGGCGTCTGAGAAAGTGCACTCTTACTTTGCATATAGGACAGCTCGGATCAAAAACACCATCATTTTAAAGTAGCACAATGATATTTTGTCATTTCCTGTCTAACATCCCTGCTGCAGATCGAAATGTTTTAATATCCATCAATAAAGAAATCAAGCATTTCCCCTTTTTCTGCCTTTATTTTATTCCCATGCTCTTGTCATTGCACAGTGGGAGGTTATTTAACAAAAATTGAAGATACTGAATCTGCAGGCAGGAGGTCTTTAAGCTGGTGTCGGAAACAGCAACAGATGGTTTGAGCATTCCAGGCTGGGGGAGGGATGGGGCTTTATGGGCTCCAGCAATGTTTGTATACAGGTGATCTAATGGTTTGCTTTTTATCAAATCTAGGGAGATTTTTGAAGCTTGAAATCACCAGCTACAATGAAAAAGTCATCTGGTTGCTTGTTTTGTTGTCTGCTGATGGCATCGTGGAGCCTGCTCACAGCTGCATTAGCGCTGGCTCATGAGTGGATGTAAACACTTGCCACAAACACAGCAGGGATCTCTCTGGGTGGACATTAAGGTCTACTTATAGCAGTAAAGACTCTAGGTCTGGACTGCTGTGACTCACTATGGCAGCTGTGTTTGTGCACCAACAGAGTCTGATCTACTCGGAATATTGTGCAACTTGTCAGCTCCGTGGCTTGGTCCAGGATGGTTTTATGAAGCTAGGTCTCTGTTATTACCACAGAGTTAAATATAAAGTGAGCCCCGCATATCCTGTCCACTGTTAGCATCTGTGACAACATGGAGGAGCAAAGATGGCGTCCAAGGTGACGGCTCACAGCATAAGCAACTATTTCATCAACACCAAGCCCAACTGGATCTCTGTCACAAATTTGGTCTAATCTTTTTACAACAAGTTAACATAAATGTTAATTATAATAATTTCATTCAGCCATCATGTAAAACAGCTAGATAGAAGAAAAATATATAAGCAACAAATTAAACTAGCTCCACTGTCAGCCAGTGAGTTAATTTTAATTTAGTTGAATAACTATGACTTCAACTTGTAATAAAGTATATTTAATATTTACCTGTTATGTAGTCCAGTGGTTCCCAAACTTTTTGTCCTCTGACCCACAAAATATCCATGGCAAAAAGTTGTGACCCCAAATATTACTGGTCTGAGTACACGAACTTCGTTAATAACCCTAAAAACACAGGCTTTTTGACAACCTAAACACTTTGTATACAAATATAAATACTTATTTTTTACTTATTTTGTGTTTTTGTAATAATTATAGGGAAAATATTACATCAACAATAATTTTATTACCCTTTAAATTGATTTCTGGAGATTATCTAAGATGCTTCATGACCCATAATTGGGTCCCAAGCCCAACTTTGGGAACCAAAGTGCAGTGGTTCCCAAACTTTTCAGCTTTTGACCCACAAAATAACAGTAGCAGAGACCTGTGCCCCCAACTATTTTTGTATGATAAACATTTGTATCAGGTAAACAAAACATCGTGAGTAACAATATTTTTATACTACATTTATCCATTTTAAATATACTAACCTCACTCCTTTGTAACAACTAAGGCAAAAATGTCATTAATTCAGAAAAGCTTTTCAGGACCCCACTTTGGGTCCCGACCCCAACTTTGGGAAACACTGATGTAGTCGACACTTAGAAAATGTTCACTGCGTACCTGGTGATACTTTAAGGTGAAGCTTGTCTCTACTGATGTTAACTAACCATCTTCTCAACAGGTTAGGTTTATCCATCCATCCATTTTCTGTACACGCTTCTTCCTTTTCAGGGTCACGTGGGTCACTGGTGCCCATATCCAGCAGTCACAGTGCGAGGGGCGGGGTACACCCTGGAAAGGTCGCAAGTCCATCTCAGTAGGTTTATCTAATAGAAACTTAAAAATAGTCAAACGTATAATATTATTTTACACTGTGTAAATATAACATAAACATGAGGCAAAACAAGCTTTTAATTTTTAGTGATTTGTTCTAAATTGCAGCAGTTGTAGTCAGATCACCTCCATGTTGAGATAAATAAGAAAAAAATCTGTTTATTTGTGTAATGAGACGTTTTCCTGTTTCTCTTGTGCTGACACAACCAGAACACACACAGCTTTCTGACATTTTTTAAGGCATTAGTTTCTTATATACACTCTAATTTATTAAACACATTTTTGTTACTTTTATCATTAATAGTTTTTATTTAGTTTGTATTTATTTTAATTTAATAGTCTTATTTAGCCAACATGTACAGTAATGCTAAATCCAGACGCTTGCCCGACGTTGGTACAGTAGGTCACATGGTCACGTGGTCAAGCTGTATTATATAACCTGCTTCGGTTATTACCACAATGCAAGTTCATGTAGTGCATCAGAGAGGCCAAAAGAGGGCGACCTTGCACTGACTTAACATTTAACTTTGGGCAGAACCACACACACACACACACACACACACACACACACACACACACACACACACACACTGAACTAAAAGCATCTGGTAAAATCCACAGCATGTGACAGGACGATGGATTTTTTTTGACAGCAAAAGTCTAAAGTTCCTCACCAGTTGAAACATTATCCAACTTTACTTGATGTAATGACATCATCTGAACCTTTTATGTTTTACAGGTTTGATAAAACCAACTTCAACCCCGTGAAGTTTACTGCCCGAGCGTGCCCTGGGACCAGGAAACTCAAACTTCTTGTTTTCCATGTATCAGGTGTCCAACAAAACCTCTTGAGCTGAACTTCTGGACCCACTCAAAACTAGGGTACAGGTTATTCATAGTGATGTTGATCCTGATCCAAAGCCAGCGTGTCCCTGAAGTGTGAAAGAACTTTGGGACGATGGTGTTTCGAACCCTTTTAGCACCGCACACAGTCCTGCAACCTTTCGGGACATAAGAGAAGTACCAAGGTGTATTTTGGGTACTAAGAAGTTGCACAATGATGATTTTAGAGAGCAGCTGCTTATTTAGGGAGTCGTGTTCTCCTCCTACAGGGGTGCCACTTTAGACTTCTTTTTTCACCTTACTTTTTTTTTGTCCCTTTGGGTATTGTCTCAGCTCTGAAATGTTTACCTTGCTAAGTTAATCATCTATGTTCGATGACAAGGTAACTGTGCTAATCAATATCCAATTCTTTGAGAATACTGACATTCTTGCAGCTTTGTGCAGAGTTGTCTCGTTATTAAGACAAAATAATTCAAAAACCTTGATACTTCACTTAAATAAATTGCAGTCAACAGTTTTGACGTTGTGTTAAGAACAATAAGTAGTGATTAAGTCAGGTGTGCAGCATTACAACTAATAAAAGGTGACTATTTGAGCTTGTTCATAGAAGTAAAGGTAAATACTAGGTAGACTGACTTGACGTACAGGCCCACATGCTGCTATGCTATATATAACTGGAGAATCTTTCGTCTTGGGCCACTTATTAACATGAGAGTGTAACTGTAGATTACAGGAGACCATGTGACCTCTGAAGCCCTGCTAACACATCTGATTGAGTGGAGAGCTTCCATTGAAAGACCGACCTCAGCAACGGCAACACATGGTATGTAAAATCTGCTGCTCTGCACGTCATATTTCTTATAATGAGTCAAAAAGGTTGTAAAAAACATTTTTTTCTGGTCATATACAGTACATCTATAAATAAACAAATATCTCACTATTTCTTATGAATCTAGTTGACGATTATTGGTAATTTAAGGGATTTTTTTTTGGCTTATGTATTTTCCAGCTTATTTTTTGTCTTATTTTCATAGGTTTTCATGTATATGGAGTTTTTTGGGTTCTTGAATATTGGAGCCCATTGATCTTCTCAGTTTCCCCATTTCTAGTACTTCTTGTGCTTGTCCCGTGTAACCAACCCTCTTGTTTTTATTTAGCGACTCCTTGGTGTCCTTGGTTCACATTTCACGACATGCTTTGAAGTTTTTTGCTTTTCTTTGGTGCTTGTTTAGTCATTAAATGCATTTAGAATGCAGGCTCAACCTCCCTACGTTTGCCCCATTTGGCTTCTTAAAATCACCAACTTGTGAGGATTTAAAAAAGATTTTCTTCTCCTTGCTTGACTTCTCGGACATCTTGCCTCATGCTTTAAGCTCATCTCAGCTTGAGTGCCTCAGAAATAAAGTAAGCGTCAGATGTCTTTATATAAATCCACTTCCCATACTGTTGGCACATTGACTGTTGCTGCACATTCCGTGCTTTTAACCTCAATAATGCATCAAAATGATCAATACACTGAAATAAAGAACACAGGATTTCTCCGTTAGGTATCAAAAAGATTTATTGTGTGATTTTATAAATATTTATTTAATTTGTTCACAGGCCTCTTTATAAACATGTTAACGTATGCATTTGTTAAACTATGAACTGAAACAATAAAAGATCATAAACATGCATCTGTCTGCACAAGAGCCATCCAAAGCCATCACTTTGATACTGTATCTACTTGGGTGGCTGTGGCAGAGTGGTTAGGGGAGTCATCCTGGAACTGGAAGATCGCCGGTTCGATCCCCTATTCCAGCTGTCTCAGTTGTTGTGTCCTTGGGCAAGACACTTCACCCCTAATGCCTCTGATGTGTGTCCAATCAGTGTATGAATGTGATTGGCACTGATTAGCCTCCATAGATGATTGAGACCTGATAGAGTGCTGTGTGAATGAGGACACAGATTGTAGTGTGAAGCACTAAAAGTGTCCAGGATGGATAGAAAGGTGTTATATAAGTACAGTCCTTTCACTTTCAGGTGAGTCAACATGAAACTTGTATTTTCCAACCCGGGTTTGGATCAACGGATCCCCAGCTATGAGGATCTGGAGAGGATGGAGCAGGAGGAGGTCGCTGACCGGCCGAAGTGGGACAACAAGGCCCAGTACATCCTAACCTGTGTGGGCTTCTGCATTGGGATTGGCAACGTGTGGCGATTCCCTTATTTGTGTCAAACTCATGGAGGAGGTAAGCTCAGATAAAAAAATCCATGCTTTAGATTTGCTTTTTCAGTTTAGTCGTGCAGTCAAATCAAAATGTTGAAAATTACAATAAAATTGTAAATAAAAGAGCCACAGATCCTGACATTCTTATAAGGCTGTTTGAAATTACTTTCTTGAAAACAATTGAAACACCTGATTGCAAATAAAGTTTTTGTAAAAGTTTTTAGTGTATACTTGTCTGTTAGCAAAATATCTCATGAACCACAAAACATATTTTAATGAACCTCTTAGAAAGTATGCACTGAATGTACATAGCAGCTCATCAATATTCTGAAGCCTACTTGATTCAAAACGACAGCTACAACTTAGCAAACACAAAAATTAGTATAAAGTTTGCATTTAATGCAAAAATGCACTGTGACTGTTTAATGCTGAAAGATATGTTTTAATTAATTTAGCGAGAAAAACTCAAATGAGCCAAAAATGAGCTAAAACACATGAAACAGTCGAAATTGGCAGAAAGTAGATGAAAGAAGCATAAAAGGATAAATTAGCTGAAAGAAGCACAAACGGTTGAAAATAGCTAAAGAATACCATAAAAGAAAGGAGCTGAAATTTTTTTATATATAAATTTTTAAATAGCACAAAAATTTCAGAATGAAATGTGTGCCAAAACCCTTACAAAAGAAAAATTCTTTGTAAGCACAACTAGGTCAGTTTACAGATACTGAGCTTAAACTGGGAGCTGTAGTAGCCAAAAGTCATCCTAACGCATACTTTAACTTATCACGTAAGATCTTTGTTTAACTTTTTGCCATTATTGGAGGCAACATAGCTCATAAAAGCAGGCCTGTAGGCACGTGCGGACTTTGGACAAATGTTTAACGCAAAATCTGCCAAACACACCAGCAGAGACAAAACACACCAGTATATTCTTCTATATAAAATAAGCATAGTTTCCCTGCTTAGACTGAGCATTTTTACACTTTAAAGCATCTGAATTGTCAAAAAGGCTAATATTTCTATTAATGATCTGATGATGACCACACATTTTCAGGTGCTTTTTTGATTCCCTACCTGATCTTACTGGTGCTGGAAGGAATGCCTCTCCTACTGCTGGAGTTCGCCATCGGCCAACGTCTCAGGAAAGGCAGTGTGGGGGTCTGGAGGTCCATCAACCCCTATCTGACTGGCATAGGTGAGTGATAAAAACATAATATGTCATTAAATACATTTAAGTAAAAATAAAATGAATATTAGTAAGTAAGTAAGTAAGTAAACTTTATTTATATAACACATTTCACAGCCACAAACATCACAAAGTGCTTAACAGAGAGCAAAATAACTAAAAACACTAAATTAGATTACAAATATATAATTTAAAAAACAACAATTAAAGCACAAAAAGCACATTAACTAAAAGTTTGTCTGAAAAAAATGTCTTAAAATGTTTCTTAAAAGAGTCAGAAGAATCTGAACAGCGAAGGGACAGAGGGGGAGCGTTCCAGAACCAAAATTTTAAAATGACTCCTCAAAGTCACAGGGAGCCAGTGCAGAGAGGCTAAAACAGGTGTAATGTGGGCTCTCCTGTGGGTCTTTGTTAATAACCTCACTGCAGCGTTCTGCACAGACTGAAGCAGAGTCAAGGAGGATTTATTTAAACATGTAAAAAGGCAGTTACAGTAATCTAAACGAGAAGAAATAAAAGTGTGAACAACCATCTCTAGTTCCTTCTGTGACACAAAACATCTCAGCTTTGAAATGTTCCTTAAATGATAAAAACAGTTACGAACTAAAGTTTTACAATGAGTGTCGAGACATTGAACTATCAAAGACAACACCCAGATTTCTGAGACTATTTTTCACTGAAGGAGTTAAAAAAGCAAGGTGCTGCCTGATTACAGTAATTTTATATCAGTGGCAATGATAAGATTGTCAGTCTTGTTTGCATTTAACTGCAGGTAGTTGTTGCTCAGCCATATTTTGACTTCTGACAGACAGTTAACGAGTTCAGATACAAAACCTGRCAAAAAGGATGGAATCACCAGTCTTGGATGAGCACTCATTCAGACATTTCATTCTGTTAAACAAACTCAGATCAAAAACATGATACAATAATAAGGTCATTCCAAAGTGTAACATGATGGCTTTCAGGAACATTCAAAGAAATGAAGAGAAACCATTGTGGAAGTCAGTGAATGTTACTTTTATTGACCAAGCACAGGGAAACAAAAATGGAATCACTCAATTCTGAGGAAAAAGTATGGAATCACTCAAATTGGAGGTAGAAAACAAGGACACACCCAGTCAATTTCCTTTCCCTAAATGGACACCTGCCTCAGATTAGTTCTGCTCGTTAGTCTGCAGTTAAAAACACCTGCAGTCATGACACCTTSGAGRGCTGCTGGACGAAGTGGWGTGGCAAGAACCATGGCTCCAACAAGAGAAATGTCTCTTGAGACAAAAGTGAGGATTGTTAACCTTCTTGAAGAAGGTACAGTAACTCTTCACGCATGGTTGCTAAAGATGTGGGCTGTTCACAGCCAGCTGTATCCAAGATATGGACCAAATACAAACAGCATGGAATGGTTGTTAAAGCCAAGCGTACTGGTAGACCAAGAAAGACATCAAAGCATCAAGACAAACAACTTAAGGCCATTAGTCTTGAAAACCGATAAAGTACAACTAAACAGATGACGCATGAACAGGAGGAAGCTGGAGCCAATGTATGTGACTTAACTGTAAGAAATGGCCTAAAAGAAATGGGATTTCAATATAGGAAAACTAAAAGAAACCCATCATTGACACCTAAACAATAAAGAACAAGACTGCAATGGGCTAAGGAGAGGCAATCATGGAC